AAAGGCAACGGTCTTGGCATTCAGGGAAATTTATTAAAACCCAGCGAGTATGTGTGCAATTACTAGCTGTTTTCTGTTTTTACCTTTTTTTCTCATATTCTCTCAAAAGGTTCAAACTTCATTTACCCACTTTAATCTTCATACGAATAAGATTTTATGTTTTTAAATGAACGTTGATATTATTGTTCCACAAAACACGATTATGAACGTATCAAAAAGTCTTGGAGCTTGATGATTTTCTGCTTCTCTCTCTGGTTCGTTGTCGAATACAAACTAACCAAATTATTTGATCGGTTTTAACAAACTAACAAAAACTATACGGCGGATTTTAAAATCACGCTTCCCAAAAATTTAACTAATCAATTGTGAGATTGATGGTCGATACGGATTGATACACACAAATACATATGTGTATACATACAATACTCGATTTCAAATCGTTTGGTGAATGCGTGTATGGAGCGATACGATCGCATGTGAGTTGGGAGACTAAGTTGAAAGCCGTGTGTCTCGGTAAGTGCACCTACAGCGAGAGAAATAAAAAAGAACGACAAAATGCCAGAGTGCGAACAGTCCTGAGGTGTATCTTCGTTATGAGACACAAAGAAAGATGAAATCAAGACCCATCTCAAAAAAATGTGCGATAATCGTTTTGTTATCGTACGTATTCCATCTCTTCTCTCTAGCTTTGTATGATTTGGTGTACGTTATTATATTCCCATAGTTGAATTGGAAACAAGAAACGAAGAAAGAAATTTAAAAAAATCCAAATGGGTGTTTTGTGCATTCGTCTAATGCGTTTGTGAGTGTGTTGGAGTGGATGTGAGAGTTAACAACAATACAAGAAGATGGAGTGAGCCGTAGATAAGAGGTATAGGGAAAAGCCAGCGAAAATATTTCGAATGATGGCCTGATATACCTAGAAGAGCATGCAGTACAGACCAAAACGAAATGGACACAGTGTTGTGCGTGTAACATTCAACAGTAACCATGCAACTTAATATGTGTACGAGGCTTATGAAACAAAACATATTTTTAAAAAAACACACAAAACGAAACGAATCCAGATGAAACGAAGTAACTAATGAAATGAGATTAAGTGTAATGAGATGGCATGGTATTAATAGCAGCAACAATAATCGATCGGGCCAGAGATGCATGCACATGGTAAATAGTATTTACTAAATACTTGACAAAAATACGCCAGACGTAACAGAATTAAATAATGTACGATATCAAATATGCCCCTATAATATAAAAAGGGAACTTGAAATCGTCAAAAATGGTTTGTGACTGTGCTAACGCGCTAAATAGTGTCGGAGAATAATGAAGAATATCAAGAATTTTTTCAAATTTCGTACAACTCTAGCTGGGAATTTATCGATGATCAATATAGTATAGAACATGATTTCGAATTGAAAGTTGAGTATCCAATATCATAGGAACGAAGTAAGAAAAAGAAGAATTAAGATTATGATGACGATGTGAGGAGTAGAAAAAATTTACATAACCAAATGAATAGAAGAAACAAGGAGCATCACTTCACATGCAAACACGCACATGCCACACATCCATTCCACTTGATATTGCTGTCGCTATTCGTCTCTGAAAAACGAAATGATACCATTCATATACACTATTTGAAAGTGAGTGTCTACTGTACCTAGACTAATACCGAATTCATAGGTTCAAACAACCCACTTCAGAGTAACATAGACACTTTTTTTATTCATTTTATCCTCTTCTGTTGCTTGCTCAAACAAACACTTTTACCTATGCAGCCACTCGAATGTATGAGCGCACTCGCATGCTCGTGTGCGTGTTGATCAGGTACGATTTGATGTGTCAAGTGAGACTGAATTTTCACTCAACTTTGGCTAAATATACAATTACATCAGTGAAATATAATTCGCATCTCTTTAAAATTTAATCCGATCGATGTTTGCTTTGGAGTATTTCCCTTGGTGTATGCCTTGCTTACTCTTGGTTGGTATGAAACGAAATGAAGTGAAGCAAAATGCGTACAAATTCGGGTGTTGATCGCATCGATAAAAACCACGAAATTCTCACATTTCCCAAAACTCCGACCAAAGGAGAGAAGAGCACGAAAGACACCGAGAGAGAGAGAGAGAGAGAGAGAGAGAAAGAAAGATAAAGAGAAGATGCTCACACGCAATATGTGATAAATGTATACATATACAATTTGACACATTCAAAGAAGATGGAACTAACTGAAAGTATTTTGCTTTCAAATAAAATTGTATCCAAACAATGATTGAAGAACGCACTCGATTGTAATTCAATACTCTTTATGGTGCTGGTGAAACACAAAAAATGTGAGCGAATAAACGAAAATACTGTACAATTTACGCAAAACACTTGATACTTTTACTTTTGTTCGCGAAAACGTCCAAAATACTGACAGTTGATATGTCGATATAAATATCAACTAGGGCCATTTTGAGAGATATAAATATTTGATATCGGTCTGGCTACCATTGTGCGATTGGCTACTAGGGAAAAGAGCTGCTTTCTGTGAATGAACACAACACTTTATTTTATTCTGCAACCGATAAAAATGAACCTTCTCGGCTATAGATTTTAAATATGATTGCTAGTCAAACTGGAAATTTAATGAGCATTAGCATTGGTTTTAATACAACATCGTGATAAGAACCACATCGATATTCTGGTAACAGAACAAACTGCGCACAAACCATTTCAAATGAAATAGAAATAAGACGAAAAATACACGTAATTGCATCACGAACAATATTGAAAACATCCGAAATTTGCTGGAAGAGCAAAGGCTCTCAGAAATCGCTTATGTTGCTTTTGCCTAAAACGTTAATGTCATTAGCAGCATAGACGTTCTACTGACTTAGAAGCATTGAAAGGCCGAGAGCCTTTGAAAAAGGCTGCTCACAAAAACGTCCAAAAAATTGACAAAATCACGAGGGGGAAATCACTCAAAAATAATTTCTATTTGACAAGTAGATTTTAGGTAATTCGTTGAACAAAAAGTAATTTTGAATGTAGTTTTTCGACTAAAAATTACTACAAATTACTTTTTATTCGATAAATTACTTTTCTATTAGAAATTACTTGTCAAAAATATATTTTTCTATGATAAAATGTATTTTGTAATTCTCTTCGAAAAAGTAATAGTAAAAGTAATTTGTGAACCGAAAAAGTAATTTTCTAGAGTGATTTTCCCCTCGCAAAATCATCTAAATTCAAAATGCCGGGATAAATTACAAAATCATCAAAAAACCTCCAAAAAAGTATATGGACAAAACACGTATTAAAAAGGACAAAATCATCTAAAAATCTAACAATTTTATTCCAAAATTTTTTATGTATTTTTATCTCTCAACATGTGACAAAATCGTCTAAAAAGGCACAGAATTTAGATGATTTCGTCCATTTCCATAACGATTTTGTAACAAAAAAAACGTCAGATTTTAAAATCATTTTATCATATTTTTGAAGAAAAATTTGGACGAATTTGTTAAAAAAAAGTGACAATATTTACTAGACGAAATTGTATCTAATCATTTGGAAAATGACAAAAAAAATATTTAGATAAAATGGGAGGGTGGAACTCAAGCATTATTAAAAATCGTTCAATACTTTCCTTCTTGGAACTTCCCAGAAGAGTATAGAAGGCTCTGTAGTACAGAGTTATAACTGTCAAACTACTGGCGCCATCGGCCATCACGAGTATGTATTGATAATACATTCGAATTGCACTCACACGTAAATAAATTCAATTGATTTTTCATTTGGAGTGCGTTCAAGCTCGTAAATGAAACTCAATGGAACGAGTACTATTTTGTTATAGCAAATATGTTATTGTGACTGTTGTACTACCCGGGTAGCTATCCTAAAGTCATAGACTTATTTTACCGTAGTTTCCTTATTTTGATTTACGCACAAAAATGTACAATATTGTGTTGCATGTTGGTTCCTTATCGTATCGCATCCCATCCCATCGCTTCATTCGTTGTGCACACGAACAAAGTTAGTGAGTGTGTCTCCTTGCTGGAAGATATGCGAAGTCAACCGTGGTTTGAAGCTCAAGTGCTCTTTATCACTTTCCATGTGTCGAAAGCTAAATTTTTGACACGAAACAACATCTCACCGATACGATACGATGCATCTACGTTTAAATTTTTTAAACGAGAGAATTTATGTAAGAAAATTTAATCTCGGTTCCACACCAAATTGTATTGTGAATGGAGTGTTTCATGCTACGAATGATAAGCATAATATTTATGTGGAATTTATCTGCTCCATTAGGCATCCAGAATATTGGATGCAATTTTTCACGCAATTTGTGTTCATTTATAATTTTTTGATACTAGACTTGAAATTGAATTCATGGTTTCTGTTATTTTTCTTAGGGAAAATGATGTGAATATGTATGCCCATTACAAAAATCTGCTTTTAATCAAGATTCTCCAGAAAGAATATAATATTATATCATTGGTATACACATGTTTTCATCACTTTACGACTTAAAGCTGTGACCAGTATTGGCAGAATATCGATAAAAACAAGCATGCCAATTTGTGCCGTATGATATGCAAATGTGAACCGAATACAAAGAGGGATTTGATGAATTCATCGCAAGAGTTTTCATTTATGTTTTTAGTTAATCGATAAATAAATAAAATCAATGCACTGAAAATTACTATTCCCACATTTGCAACGAGATTGCCTCGATTCATAGTCACATTTGCAATAAAACAAACGGTTTAGAGATGTTTCCAATTGTTTTAGATGAAATGTGAAATTTTCTTTAGCAGTTCATTGAAGCATTTCCAGAACTTTTATTTTTCGCTCAAATTCACGGGAGACAGATAGGGAATTGAAAAAAACTTACAAATAGAAAAATTGTAGGATTAAAAAAAAACACACAACAGAAAATCAATAAAATGGTGTTTTGTTTTCTCGTTTGTTGTTAGTGTGTTCATGTACATTCGAATCAAACTTACCTGATTAATTTTCTGTAGCCAATCGATATTGCAATCGCATATGAAGGGATTTCCGCCAATGTAGAATTCGGGTAGCATTTTGGCTGTTGAAACGGGTTGTAAGCGGAGCGCTTTCACATCCAAACTTGTTATTTGATTTGCATACAAATCAACACGGGTTAAATTCGTTTTTTGCATGAATGTATGCGGTTCGACGGTTGTAATGAGATTATCATTGAAAAATAGTAACTCGATGCTGTTTGGTATTGATGTTGGTGTCACTTTTTCGATTCGATTGAAACTTGCATCCAATGTCTGTAATTTCAATTGATTGTCTAAACCATACACATTTGTTAATTCGATAAGTTCATTCTTATGCAAATCGAGCCATTGCAAGCTCAACGGTATTTGCGAGTAGTCAAAATGCTCGAGTCTATTATCAGATATATTAAGCCATAACAAATTTGGCATGTGGGCGAAGAGTCCGTTGATTTCGGTGAGGTAATTGCCGTCGAGACGTACTGCCTGAATGCTTGATGTCATTTCAAATGCGCCCGATTCGACGAACGAAATTTTATTGCGTGCCAAATTCAAAATTTGCAGACTTGGCAAATCTTTGAACACATTTTTTGTAATGTTCTCCAAATTATTGCCGATCAACCGCAATCCATACAGATTGGACATGCCACGAAAGCCGGGCTCATCTAGCGATACGATTTGATTTTCACCCAAATCAACTGTGCGTAGCAGACGCATATCTTTTAATGCCAAAGGCACGGTTCTCAATTCGTTGCCATTGAGATTTAAATCTTGAAGTGAGCTGCAATTACGAAAAGCCTCCGGATGAATGCCGGTCAGTACATTATTGTCGAGCGATAGCAAGGATAGCACATATAATCCATTCAGCGAATACGCGTCCAAATATTTAACTCGATTGTGTGACAACAATAGCGTGTGTAGATTGTTCATCGGTGCAAATGTGTCAGCTGCAATTGATTCCAGTTGATTGTGTCGAAGATTTAAGATTTGAAGTGTGTACAAATCCGAAAAAATTTCCGGCTCAAGATTGGTTATTTTATTATTCGACAGATTCAACAACACCAAACGTATGAGACCCGCAAATGTGTTTTTATCAATCCAACCGGAGGTCAATTTGTTGTTGGCCAAATCGAGTGCCTGAATTTGCTCTAAGTTTGAAAACAATTTCGGCGACAGCACGCTAATTGAATTATTTTGTAAGTAGACTTCCTGAATGGACTGAGCTGGATCTTTGAACAATTCCGATGGCAGCGCAACGATTTTATTCGAACTTAGATCAACTATTTGGAGGTTTCGTAAACCGCCAAGCGCTTTGTCATCGACCATGGAGATTTCGTTGTTGTGCAATTTCAAATGCTTTAGGCGTTTTAATTGGCCAAACCCATTTGCTGGCAATAGAACGAAGTGGTTATAGGATGCATCCAATGTTTCAATATCCAAAATGCACGGTTGTTTCGAACTAATCCTTTGAACACCGTCCGGAACTGCATTGTTTTTGGTGGAACTGCTTGTCGTTGATGATTCATTCGTCACATTTCCATTGGATTGCTCACCCTTTGGTTTTTCGCGGAATCCTAAATCATTGATGTCCTGCAGTCGATTAGCACTGATATTCAAAAAATTCAAATCGCTCAAACTGCAAAAAAGATTTTCGGGCAATGACCAGATGTTGTTCAAACTAAGATCCAATCGTTCTAGACCTTTGGTGTGCACAAATGAATCAATTTCTATATCCAAGCTGAGCGCGGGCCAATTGATATTGTATGTGCGTATAGTTAAATTACGTAAATCATTCAAGCCCAGCATAACTTCTTGTCCAAATTTAGCGAATTTGCAATGGTCGATGGTGAGATCTCTCAGCCGAGTCAAATGTTGAAAACTCCTCGGTTCTAGTGCACTTTTTGCCATGATCGTATCGTTGCACAAAATAGTCAACGAAATTGTATGCTCTGACGGAATTACACTGAAATTTGTTGTATCGAATTCACTGTTGATAGTGCGTAAATTGCATGCCAACGACACCTCTTCCATTTGATTGATGAAAAATCGACAATCGTCTGGCGCGTCATATTTGAGCTGTGCATCGACTCCAGTCCCACTGTTTAAACTACTGCTACCGGTTCCCGTGTATGCGCCCAATTTCATAGCACCAGCGATATTCTGTGCCGAATGCATTGTTTGTGGTTTACTTTTTTCACTGCGAACACATACACTTCCCAATGTGGAAGCCAGTAGAAGTACCAATATATGTCTCACCCAAAACATGATGATGAATATGAAAATATTTAAGTCGGCTTAATTCATCAAACAATGATAAAACGACGGAAAAGGCAATCCGTTGAACGCGATATGTAACGTAAAGTCAACGTCTACTATTCACGTCGTTGCTGTTTTTTCTTCCAATTTTAATTTATGAATTTCGATTTTTATTTGTTGCAATTTTTTGCTAGTTTAGAATTCGAGGAAACTCAAATGTCTACATTTCTCCCATTCATCGACGAATCAAAACTTCTGAATGGACTGATGACGAACAGAATATAGAAAAATAGTAAGAAATGACAGAAAAAAATTGGAGAATTCGATGGGAAACACGGAATTTGTTGATGATGCGGTTCGTGTTGCTGGATCGTTTTTCTGAAAATTTGATGTGAGTCTGTGTGCTCAGTAGATGTTCGTGTTTGGCATTAAAATTATCAAGATCGATTTGTTTTTCTTCATCGATTCTACGTGTTTGGGTGTTTTATTTTTCTTTATTTTTGTTGTGTTTCCCAACTCGTCGCACTCGTGAGTTGTATAATAATTTCGATAATATTTTCCGAAATGTTGTATTCGGTGCTGAACTTCTTTCTCGTTTTTTGCTATCCAAGCGGCTATTTTTCATGCGGCCTCAGCAACGGATTTTTATATTTATTCCGTATGTCGGATACTCGGGCTGTTGGTGTTTCGATTTATATATTTATGGTCAAGATGCATTTAATTTATGGCTGTGTCGGTTATTCTAGTTTCACCGGGACCAATTTGTTTCACATACATATTTCGTGATTGTATATGTTTGATGTTCGTGTTCACTTTTTTTTATCTCTCTCCAGTTTTCGCTTGTGTCGGTGGTAGCTATCGGACTTTTGGGGGTAACTTTTTCGGCTTTCGAACAACAATTTTTCTCGCGATTACTGTGGCATGTCGTTTGAAGTCGAAAATGTTACAAATGTGCTATCCGCTTGTTTCTTATATGCTTTTTTGTATGCCGTTTTCAAAAGTATTGTTTTTTTTCCGTCGTGTCCGTCTCCTCAAGCAGATTTATGATTTCCGCTTTTTCATAGATGAACGTGAATCGTTGTGCCGTTCATTCGAAATGTGAATGGTTAAAAGTGTATTTAATCAATGCCACCAAAATTCGAATTTAAATTTATTTATATTCTTAGCATTCTTTTGTTTTTATTGCATAATAGTTTTTTTTCGGATAGTTTTTGTTATCGAATGTCGTTCAAATTCGTGTTATTTTCTGCACTAGAAATTCTATCTCAGTAGTCTTTCGCGTTATATTCATTCACAAAACAATCTTTTAACGAGATGCACATTATATTTCATCCGATATTCACTAGATTTGTGAACAAACCTTCGATGGTTTGCTTCATTCTTAGAACCACTTGTGAATCCCAGTCACAACACTAGCTTTTTTTGTGTAAATCTTCTAAATTTCTTCTTTTCAAATCCAAATCAGATGAAAATAATAGTGCAAACCAGTGAACCAATTTTTCAAACTAAGCACTGTTTCAAACAATTATTTGTTTCATATTTTGAATGCAGCATATGTAGTTTTATTTCAACATAAATACACTGAATAAACGGGAAATTGAAAAAAACTCGTATGAATTTCAAATCGATTATTTTGTTTCACTAGTGTTAATTTCTCAATTTGAAACTAATTCGATGTACAAATTTTGCAAAGCACATAACATGTAAAATCACACTCAGCTTTTCAACAACACACATAATTCACAAAAGTTTTCAAGACGAATCTTCTCTTAATTTTTTCTGTAAACAATTTGTTGTCGATTCGTTTATTTCGTATTTATATGCACATAAGAAATACGATTACAGTTCTTATACGCGTATTCGGGAAAATATAAAATGTTCTTGTCTTTTCCCTATTCTTGGTTTTCTTTTTTTTATAGGTACACAGAAAAAGAAGAAGAAAACGATGACGATGACGATTTCATCGACAACAATACGTGCTTACACTCGAAAAGTTCAAATCAGACTGGAGCCAACATGGTGCTGCTACTCCTATATATATTTTTCGTCGCTTTTTGTGCTGATGTTCATTCTGGATGGTCTACATGCCGTGTGTGTATCGTATTACATTTCAGCAACTACAGCCAAAGGAGCGAACAAAGAGAAACAGAGAAGCAAGATCAACTGAGTAACTCGTCACTCGCATTCAAAATTCAAACATCGATGGAGGAGAAATCTGAAAATAGTCTCTCTTTTTTCCATTTTTACTCTTCCATTTTCTCTTTTCTGTGCGCTGAATAGAAAGCAGCTAGCAAGCGTAACGGAGCGTATGTGTGGTGCTGAAAATGAAGTGTGCGTATGCGTGTGTTTATGTGTGAGAGGCTTGGTTCATTTCCCCGTTCGATGTAGTCAACATGACTACATTTCATCTGTCAGTGCTGTTTAACGAACCATTCCGAAATTTTTACGAACGTAGGGGTAGTTACATTGCTGAATACCAACCGCCTATATGTATCCGAGCTCAAAACAGACAAAACAATGGGAAGTACATGGCACTTTGCCACTCTAAATTTGAGGTTCAATGTATACTCTATGCTCTTTCTCTTCAATTCTAGAGTAGAACATTCAATGTCATATGGCGGATGAATTTCTCAAATTGCTAAAGGTGAATACCGACATGATCATAGCACACAATGAAGAAAAAATAGATATTCTTTTTGGAATTATTCAAAACAACAGAAAAAACACTTACAAAAACGTATAATTTATAGCCCGTCGTTGCTTGTGCCTTTGGATTGTGCAAGCATATTATTACTGTGAATATGCATTCACAGGCGGATCGCATACGAACCGAAATGCTCGTGTTCGTTAATGATAACATCCAATTAAGTGGATCTATTTAATGCAAATTATTATAAAATTTCCCTTTGTCTTATTCGAGTAAATACAGACAATCGACATCGAACTTTTGATAGAAAAAAAATACATGTATGAATTTTTTTTCATTCTGTTATGTAATGACGACTGATGTCGTTTAAAGAATTGGGAACACAGTACGAAACGTCGCAGACTGAATGAATGAATGAAATATAGCAAAATTACTGGAAACACTTGAGCTCCAAATGCAGTTTTAAAATCAAAACCGTACTTCAAAAAGCATTCATACACGGCTGGAATGGGACTTTTGGAATAGGACGCGGTTATGCTGCGCATTCAAAAATTTATTTCAAGTTAAAGAAATGTCTTCACCACTCTTTTAATCTCACTCAACCGACTACAGCAACAACCAAATTCTTTCAATTTTGAATCGGTACGATAATATCCTTAGCGAAACATACATTTTATTTAAGAACAAAAAATATCCAAGGGAATTTCTTAAACAATGAAAAACAATAGTTTTTGCATAAAACTACCGCAAGATTTACGTTTCACTATGACTCCCATATTTGTCTTGTATCTCTTTAGTTCGAAAGTATGCATTATACTGAAGGAAAATGAAAGAATTATTTGTTCTGATTCACAACAGTTAACCATTTTCTAGGGAGCTAACCCTACCAGAATTTTGCGATACATTGAGGTTTACGTCGACATGTCGCGACATTCCGCATTGCGATAGGTTTTTCAATGTACAGGTTCACGCAAAATCATTACGCTGACATATCTGCGACATATCGCATTGCGTAAACCTGTAAATTCGAATTGTATCCAACTTCATTGAATTGAAAACATAATTTCAAATGGTTTTATTTATAATCGTTGTTAATAAGAAATAAAAACTTATTCAAAATAATTATAAAAAAGAATGATCAGCCATTGCAGCCTTTAAAAATACAACATGCTGAATTCGAATGAAGTTGATCGCAGTTCATGCATTTTGTGACAACTATTGCGGAAGGTTGGCGATACGTTTGCGTAAACGTTGTCGCAAAATTTTTGTAGGGTAAGTGATAATTGCAATGAACATTTTTTGAATCGAATATTAAAGGTTCAAGTCAAGAGTTTCGGTGCATAATTTCGAAACTTTGTATTAGTATTGCCGATTAGTGATTGAATTTGTGCGGTAGAGACGTTAGATCGTACCGTCAGTTTCACATAAGTGGTTGATGACATTGCTTGCTGTGCAGTACCCTTTTATTAAGTTTAGTTTGCATGCACACTCATCATATAACCACCATTCTATTACGCGCTAGGTTTCCCAGCTATCAATGTTACATACTGCTGTACAGCGTAAAACTTGCACTTTTATGTCAAGACAAATGCTTTCCAGCGGTTTTTATGCAACTTATGATGTAATTGTTTGAATTCATTTTTCTTCTATTCATCATCATTTTGTCACCCCTATAAAATAAGCGTAATTTAATGGAGTTATCAATCAACACTCATTCAAATTCACGCACTACTTTTCAGTTTGCGATTGATCTAACATAAAACAAATAAAAAAAATTCCTCTCCACTTACTTTCTTTACGACCACTTTGGAAACAGAAATATGAAATCGGTGCACTCTGTCTTTCAGTGATTAGTGCATATAAACTCGCCCATCATGAATTGAACACAAGGAATCAATTTACATTGTGCTTGATGGTAAATACATTAATACAATGAAAATCGACACATGAATGGAAAAATTGAAAATTTTGACTCTGTTGTTGTAAATAAGTATGAAGTGAAGAATATATATTTGATTCAATCCACCGCAGATGCGAAACGATGTACGGGAATCGTGAATTTGTATCGAACCCGTGAAACAAAATAAAAAAGATGAATGATGCGACAGAATTAGCTTCAACATACGTCTTACAAGAAACTGAAGAAGAAAAAAGCCATTGAATGTGAGTTAGAATCAAGATAGATGAAAACATGGCTACCAATTATTGTGTTTAACTTCAACGAAATCAAGTTTTTTTCCCTCTTTTTTTTCACTGGTAGGATGTCTACTTCAACCATTTATTATAAGTATGTGTGTTTTTCAGTTGTACTTCGGCTCATTTGAGGCACTTTCTGCCAGACAAAATCGATTGATTAACGTTGAAATACGCACAACGCATATTGCAACATGTCTAGAATAATTACATTTTTCCCCTTCTCTTTCAATTTGATTTCGATCAAGACAATTAGGAATTGTGATGTGCTCTATCTCAACGAATATGAGTAATGCTAGAATAAATGGTTTAATAAATATGAATGCTGTGCTTGTTTTCATTTTTGTGTTTCGCGCTTCAATTTCAATAACATCGAAATGTTAACAAAAGCAATAGTCCATCAAACAAATTGGATTCTTTCTTGAACAATCGACATACCCAAAGCTGCTGAAGAATCGGTATTCGCGGCACAGCATGCGTGCTGTTTGTGTTTTTTAAACTGATGATGATAAATGAATCGCGAACTATAAATAGCTAAAAATGTAATTACAATAGGTGGAATTTGGTTACGTCTTGCCCTGACATTCATCGGTGTTGTGGCTATTTTAAGTGTCTAATTAAACGAGCATCAATTTGTCGAGTTGTTAGTTTTGAAAAATTAAAGTTAGAACCTCTCATAGCACTTGCATGAAACTAAATAGCAACACAGTGGATTCAATTAGAATTTTTTCGGAGCAAATTCAAAGAAAAAGGAGGAAAAGTTTTCAGGGACAAATTAACAAATGATAGAGTTCAGCGAAAAAAATTCTTTGTGGTGAAAAACAAAACAGATACGATAGTTCCGTCGTGAAAACACATTTTTTCGAATGATATAACCGATGAAAAAAAGTGTTTTGTTAGAAAATATTTCCGAACAAAAGAAAATTTCCGTAATGATCATAATTTTCGTAATGACCAAGTGGTTTGTATGCCAAGAATCTTTTTTTTAAATGTTCAAGAATTCGTTCGAATTCCAATTTGAACTATGCTTATATCAAATCAAGTAATTATAAATACTTATCGAGTACTTCGTTAGCCAATAATATTTTCGAGAAGCGATGCCAAAATTTCGTGTAGTTTTTTTGTGTGCCGAATAAAAATAGTAGTGCTTTCAGATGCACATGAGTAAATTGAGCTAGAATTATGGCTCTTTGCTCGATTGTAGAATTTGATAAGGTTTCAATTCGTAAAGACACTATTTTGTCATCTTTTCTTATTAAAATATAAACCGCGGGAAACCACTAATGAAAAACTAGTAATACTTTATTCTTTCACTGAATAAGTCGAAATGAGAACGAAAAACAGTCAATTATGTGAACTTGATCTGACTTCCTATCAATATTTTATCATACATAGGGATGTACATCAATGAAACAATAACGATTCAATGCTATAAAATTAGCAAACTAGTAAAAAAAAATAGCAAATCATCCATCACATTTTATGCTGCAATAAAGAATGTACAGATCCAACGCATTTCAAAGGATAGTTTACTATTGTTACTATTCATTGACACCGTTAAATGCTGGCTTTATAATAGGTCACATATTTTTTTTAAATTTGGGTACTTTCATTCCGTGTTACAATGCAATTCACATGGTAAGCATTGTGGCAAATCATTTATTGGCAACAACACCGAAACACATTATAGATTGCTAGCTGGCTAAGCGCATTATCGAAACATACTTTTGCTTGGAATCAGCGTCTCATGGATAAAGGTGTCAACGAACACCGACTCTGTTCGTTCGTTCGTTCGTGGGCGCTTCAAAAATTGACGAACGTTCGTTCGTTTGTTCGAAAATTTTTGGATTGTTTACGAACGTTCGTTCGTTTGTTCGGGAATTTTCCACGAACAAACGAACACGAACATCGAACTGTTCGAAATTCATACAAAAATTCGAACGTTCGGAAAATTTACGAACACACGAACAATTTTCCACTGTTCGAACCTTTTCATTGATTTTCGAACGTTCGGGGAAAATATTTCCATCTTCACAAGGAATATTTTGAGCTCAACTCAATTTAATCGTTGCCGAGCTATCTCAATCGATCACTGTAATCGTTGCAACGATTGCCAAACAGCAATGTTTTACCTCCGTGCGAGTGTGTGGCCAATCGTTGCAACGAT